ATGAGAAAACAGCTCGGGTCTTTGTAAAGGAAGAATGACTAATTCATACAATGTTTGTTTAATGGCTCCCAACCCTCCAATACTGTCAAATCTTACATCGATATGGTCAGGATTGATCACATCACAGGCTATAACATCCTATCAGTAAGTGAAACAGACAACTAGTAAAGAGAGCGTATATAGACATATATTCGGATGTAAACATGTGACAATGCAGAACATGGCACAACACCATCAGGCAAGACCATGGGATCTAACTTCCTTCTGATTCCATTTTAATTGACAGAGTAAATAAAATATAGCCCCTGTATGGTTTAGATAAAAATCAGTTTTTTAATAAAAGTTGATGAAAAGTGTGGTTGAAAAATTGTAGGTCCCATGAAATATGCGGTTAAAATTACTTGTTGACTTTGACTTAGATTTAATTAAATTGATTAGCTGAACCCAACATGAACATGATATATACGTGGAACCACCTTAAACCACCCAATGCCAAAGTTGATAGCAGTCTCAAGTCTCAACTGTAGTTAAACATCAATATGCAATCTGACATGCACAATGCCATGGTGACATTTTTAAACAAAATAAGCAATCTGACATGCACAATGCCATGAATTGCGTTTTCTTACTTTTAAAATTTATATTAACTATCTTAAAATTATAATAATAATTCCTTTTATTTAATTAGTTTATTAACTTTCAAAAAAATGATTAAAAAAAGGCTATTTTGTATATCCAGTAAGCATCACTCTATATGTCAATTAAGCTACGTTAAGTTATTGCAAATTGAAAGATATTGATGCCATTTACCATGTTCAATTGCTTAATTGACACCTAAACTGATATTTAGCACCGATTGGACTACATAGCATTACTTTTCTTCGAAAATTCACCCAAATCAAAGTCTTGATTTCCACAACAATCAATGAAGAAAGAAGTAAGAGTTAAACTAATAGTATCACAAGCCCATTAACACATTAACCTCCTGCGAAAAAATAAATAAATAAATAAATAAATAACTTGGATTATCTATGACACGACATCTATCTAAGGGCACAAATAGCCTAACAGGCTGCTAAAACTCAGCTTGACTTCTTAAATGAGCCTGGAAAGGAAAAGAGGGGAGCTTGTTTGATTTATTGTTTAAGTTGACGCAGAACCAACAAACCCATTGTGCCAAGCTCAAGCAGAAAGGTAATCATTTTCTTTTTCTTCTTATCAACCACGCGTTCTCCAATGAAATAATATTATATATAAACTCAAAACTTTTTTTTTTTTGTCCTTTTCCATCCACACATTCTTAAAGTAAAAATAAATAAATAATAATCTATTCCAAAAATCATAATCTCAAATAGGGACCAAACTGGGGCGTATTTCAATAATATCTAAAATTTATGTCACTAAGAATGTTAAATCTCTTTAAAAAAAAAATGTATGTTATAATAACTTAACTGCCATCACGGTGAATTTTTCTAATTAGTTAAATTACAGAAATAAAAAATTACAAATCGATAACACAGACAATACAGTGCATTATAATACAAATTAAGGTATATGATTGAAACATTATATAAATACATCACATATGGAGATAAATTTGAACCTCATAGGGATTGGTCCGGATAAGAGGTCGGCCCAAACGCTTTGCAATGTCCTTCTTGTGTTCAGTTGCTTTCTTGGACGCTTCGCGGTTCGGGTCGAAATGTCGGATCCCCGCGAACAAAACCAAGCAGCTCAAAGCAGCGTTTGCGGCGTAGAGAATCAGTTCTTGCAAAAACCTGTTGTCTGATGAACTCATTTTTGCAGTACTTTTGGAGGCTTTGACGTCAGTTTGAGATGAAGAATCTGTAAAATTTACCTGTTTAGGGGAATTGGGAATTTGAAAAGAAGAGGAAAACTTGAAGGGCGCAGAGAGGAGAGGGGTTGGGGACTCGTATGAGAAGGATTTCGAACGGCCAAAGGAAGATGAATCTTATATATCTACGTGCCCTTTTCCCTGCATCCAAGAATGGTAAGTTTTGAAAGAGACCTACTAAACTTTGGCTTTTGAATGTTTACGAAGACGTCATGCAGTGAGTCTTTTCTGGATATTGCTACTTGTATTATATATGGTCTCCTTTTCTACTTCACCATAATACAATGTTCTACAGTGAATTGTTCCAATGGTCCCAAAACTTTGGTTCATATCTTTGATTGATCACTAAAGTTTATAATATCGAGTTCTGATTATTGAACTTAAGTCAATATTTTCGATTGCTCACCGAACTTAGGCCCATATCTTAGATTGCCCACTGAAGTTTAAAATGTCGAGTTTTGGCCACTGAACTTTGGAATATACCGTACGTTACTCACTAGTATAACTGTTGAATTTTGAAAAATATTGAGTTTACAGTGAGTAATGTACAATATTTTTCAAAATTCAGTGAGTAATGTACTATATTTTTCAAAATTCAATGAGTAATGTCCAATATTTTTCAAAATTCAATTGCTAAAATTCGACATTTTAAACTTCAGTGAGTAATCGAAAATATTGACCTAAATTTAGTGATCAAAACTCGACATTTTAAATATCAGTGATCAATCAAAGATATGGACCTAAATTCAATGACC